TACAGAGTCCTCACCGTCATCTTCATCCTCAGAGGTCCTCAGGAAAGCGGAAAGTTCTTCCAATTAGGGAAGACTCCCAATTCCTCAATGTACTTTAGCAGCCCTCCGCCATATTCCTCTACCTCCTGTGCTGTTCTCCAGCTTTGCTGTGGAGGGGGGAAGCAGAGGCTGACATTTCCTCCAGGGAAGCAGATCCTGAGGTGGATGGGATAGCAGGAGCAGCATCCAGGACCCCATCCTCGCTTCTCCACCCGTACTGCCACCGCCGATGCTGGATCCGTACGGAGTCTCTTCATCTTCCTGATAACCTTTCTCATTCCGGAAACTTTTCTGTGAAAGCTCCGCTCTTCTCCTTCAGCGTCTTTACAGATTCTGCTGCTTCTTAATGGCGACCTCACAAACCCTTATCTCCGGCTTCATACTCTGCCTCTTGCTGCTCATGACTTGTCATGGAGAACTTTCTTCTTCTTGTAGTCAGTTTTCAGACTTCACCAACTTTTCTCCTCCCTTTGCGATTCTCACCAGATAATCAGCAACTCCCGCTCTCTGAAGACAGGGCAGGGATTCCCACTTTTAGGGCCACAGCCAAGGTCTTCCAAGGTGCCTTTGCCCTGGTAAAGTATGGGAAGGCAAGCTGGGTCCCTCAGGGGGGAGCATGGTCTGAAGCTAGCCAGAAGAGGCCATGTTTCTGGGGCCAGGCGAGCAGGCCTGGCCCCTAGTGACTGGAGAGGGAGAGCACCTGCAGCACAACCTCTCTGGTGCAGAGTGTAAGCTCCTCTGGTGCAGTGTCTGCTGAGGGTTCTTATGTACAGCACAAGCAGTATATGTCAAAGCTATATTATATGTAATGATAATAATGTGTGACTGTGGGGACATTAGTGTGTAAGCTCCTCTGGTGCAGAGACTGATGTGACTGGTCAGTGTTCTATGTACAGCACTTGCAGTATTTGTCAGAGCTATATAAATATTAATAAGGCATTTTCTTTGACTGTGGTGGGACATTAGAGTGTAAAGCTTCTCTGGTGCAGAAATGTGATGTGACTGGCTCAGTGTTCTCTGTACAGCACTACAGACTATTTCATAGCTATAAAAATTGTATAATAACAGTGTGTTGGGACATTAGAGTGTAAGCTCTTGGATTGCAGAGATTGATGTGACCCTGGCTCAGTGTTCTTTTTACAGCAATAACAGACTATGTCAGAGCTATATAAATGTATAATAATAGTGTGTGACTGTGGGGACATTAGAGTGTAAGCTCCTCTGGTGCAGAGATGATCTGATGGGTTCTCATTTTCTGTTGACTCCTCTGTATTGTGAAATGTGGTGTCTGTTATACACATAAGAGGTATAATAAGAAATAAGCGTTGCTATATGAACAACAGGAAGGGAAATGTTTGCAGTCCCCGAGCAGACTGACATTTTTCCAGCTCCGCACGGTTCCTGGGAGTTCGCGCTCGCTCTGTAGGAAGAGAGGCAGCAAGGATATCATTATACCATTTAGCCAACATGAGCTGTTCTTATATGGCTTTTATGTTCAGAAACAGTTTGAGGTGTAATTGTGGCTTAAAATGTTTCTCGAAATGAACATTTTAGTTTTGCGGCACCCTTCACATGTATGTGATGCAGAAACGCACAGCATTCATTTAGAATGTGGACCCCAAAGTGTCAGTCTTTCATGGATGGGTGTTCATTTTGACAAGGGGCAGGTGGCTGGCCAGGACTTGGTGGTGGCAGCTGGGACTAGGGGTTGGTGTAGGCCAAGGAAGAGACACAGAGTACCTTGTGGAGTCATGAAGACGCAGTAGAAACTAGGGAGCCGAGACTGCTGGTGACAGAAGGATGAGGAATCAGAGTACCTGTCCATTCAGAGGAGAAGGGCCGAGGCACGGGGTCTAATGAGCACCCAGTTTTCACCAGAGCACCCAACAAAGGAAGATGGGTTTTGCTGTGGAGAGCTTCCAGGTTGCAAACCTTTGAGAAAGAGGTGCTGGGATCACAGGTGTAGGAGAGAACACTAGATGCAATCTGGGTGCACAGGGTCAAGAAGGAGCACAGGAAGCTAGCTGGGGAGCATGGGGTCACAGGAGCACAAGATGCAGGTAGGAGTGTACGGGGTCACAGGAGCACAAGATGCAGGTAGGAGTACATGGGGTCACAGGAGCACAAGATGCAGGTAGGGTGCACGGGGTCACAGGAGCACAAGATGTAGGCTGGGGAGCACGGGGTCACAGGAGCAAAAGATGCAGGTAGGAGTGCACGGGGTCACAGGAGCACAAGATGCGGGTAGGGGAGGGTAGGGGGTGCAACGGGGTCACAGGGGGTCACAGGAGCACAAGATGCAGGTAGGAGTGCACGGGGTCACAGGAGCACAAGATGCAGGTAGGAGTGCACGGGGTCACAGGAGCAAAAGATGCAGGTAGGCGTGCACGGGGTCACAGGAGCACAAGATGCGGGTAGGAGCGCACGGGGTCACAGGAGCACAAGATGCAGGTAGGAGCGCACGGGGTCAGAGGAGCACAAGATGCAGGTAGGAGTGCACGGGGTCAGAGGAGCACAGGTTTTAACGCTACAGTTCATGGTGTCACAGGAACACAATAGGCAAGACTGGGGTGCACAGGGTCACAGGAGCACAGGTTGCAGTTCACGGGGTCACAGGAGCTCAGGAAGCAAGCTGGGGTGCAGGGGTCACAGGAACATGAGATACCGGCTGGGTTACATAGTCGGGTTGAAAAATAGACACAAGTCTATCTAGTTCAACCAATAAAAGGGGAAAGAAAATTATATAATCCTATATACACAATCCTCTGCCCAGATTTTCCTTCTGGATCCCCCGAGAGGCAATCGGATATTCCCTGGATCAACTTTACCTATAAATATTAGCATCCAGTTATATTCTGTGTACATTTAGGAAAAAATACAGGACTTTTTTAAAGCAATCCACTGAGCTGGCCAGAACCAACTCTTGAGGGAGTCTATTCCACATTTTCACAGCTTACTGTGAAGAAACCTTTCCGTGTTTGGAGGTTACATTTCTTTTCCTCCAGACTTAAAGAGTGCCCCCTTGTCCTCTGTGATAACCTCAGGGAGAATAACTCTACACCGAGTTCACTATATGAACCACTGATGTATTATACATGGTGATCATATCCCCCCTTATGTATTATACATGGAGATCATATCCCCCTTATGTATTATACATGGTGATCATATCCCCCCTTATGTGTTATACATGGAGATCATATCCCCCTTATGTGGAGATCATATCCCCCCTTATGTGTTATACGTGGAGATCATATCCCCCCTTATGTGTTATACGTGGAGATCATATCCCCCCTTATGTGTTATACGTGGAGATCATATCCCCCCTTATGTGTTATACGTGGAGATCATATCCCCCCTTATGTGTTATACGTGGAGATCATATCCCCCCTTATGTGTTATACGTGGAGATCATATCCCCCCTTATGTGTTATACGTGGAGATCATATCCCCCCTTATGTGTTATACGTGGTGATCATATCCCTCCTTATGTGTTATACGTGGAAATCATATCCCCCCTTATGTGTTATACGTGGTGATCATATCCCCCCTTATGTATTATACAGTGGTGATCATATCCCCCTTATGTATTATACGTGGTGATCATATCCCCCCTTATGTATTATACATGGAGATCATATCCCCCTTATGTATTATACATGGAGATCATATCCCCCCTTATGTATTATACATGGAGATCATATCCCCCTTATGTATTATACATGGAGATCATATCCCCCTTATGTATTATACATGGAGATCATATCCCCCCTTATGTATTATACATGGAGATCATATCCCCCCTTATGTATTATACATGGAGATCATATCCCCCCTTATGTATTATACATGGAGATCATATCCCCCCTTATGTATTATACACGGAGATCATATCCCCCTTATGTATTATACACGGAGATCATATCCCCCCTTATGTATTATACACGGAGATCATATCCCCCCTTATGTATTATACACGGAGATCATATCCCCCCTTATGTATTATACATGGAGATCATATCCCCCCTTATGTATTATACATGGAGATCATATCCCCCTTATGTATTTATACATGGAGATCATATCCCCCCCTTATGTATTATACATGGAGATCATATCCCCCCTTATGTATTATACATGGAGATCATATCCCCCCCTTATGTATTATACATGGTGATCATATCCCCCCCTTATGTATTATACATGGAGATCATATCCCCCTTATGTATTATACATGGTGATCATATCCCCCCTTATGTGTTATACATGGAGATCATATCCCCCTTATGTATTATACATGGAGATCATATCCCCCCCTTATGTATTATACATGGAGATCATATCCCCCCTTGATCTCCTCTTCTCAAGAGAGAATAAATTCAGTTCCTCTAATCTTTCCTCATAGCTGTTCTCCTCCATGCCTCTTATCAGTTTAGTTGCCCTTCTTCACTTTCTCCAGTTCCCCAGTGTTCTTTTTGTGAATTGGTGCCCAAAACTGAACTGCATATTCCAGATGAGGTATTAATAATGATTTGTACCGGGGGAAATTATCTCTCTGGAGTCTATACCTCTCCTAATACAAGAGAGGATTTTGCTTGCTTTAGAACCCGAAGTTTGGCATTGCTGCCATTATTGAGCTTGTGATCTACCAGAACCCCCAGATCCTTCTCCACCATTGACCCCCCAGTTGTACCCCTCTAGTATGTATGATGCATGCATATTCTTAGCCCCCAAGTGCAGAACCTTACATTTATCAACATTAAACCTCATTTACCACATAGTTGTCCAATTACACATTGCATTGGGGTCGGCTTGTAAATTGGAGACATCCTTTAAGGACGTTATTCCACTGCACAGCTTGGTGTCATCTGCAAAGACTGAAATGGGATTTTTGATATTTCCAAGCCTGTAGACTTTACCTTACACATGTGGGGAACTGTGTCAAACACTTTTGCAAAATCCAAGTATACCACGTCCACCGCCACCCCTCTGTCCAAGTATACCACGTCCACCGCCACCCCTCTGTCCAAGTATACCACGTCCACCGCCCCCTCTGTCCAAGTATACCACGTCCACCGCCACCCCTCTGTCCAAGTATACCACGTCCACCGCCACCCCTCTGTCCAAGTATACCACGTCCACTGCCACCCCTCTGTCCAAGTATACCACGTCCACTGCCACCCCTCTGTCCAAGTATACCACGTCCACTGCCACCTCTCTGTCCAAGTATACCACGTCCACTGCCACCCCTCTGTCCAAGTATACCACGTCCACTGCCACCCCTCTGTCCAAGTATACCATGTTCACCGCCACCCCTCTGTTCAAGTATACCACGTCCACCGCCACCCCTCTCTACACCGAGTTCACTATATGAACCACTGATGTATTTATACATGGAGATCATATCCCCCCTTATGTACTATACATGGAGATCATATCCCCCCTTATGTATTATACATGGTGATCATATCCCCCTTATGTGTTATACGTGGAAATCATATCCCCCCTTATGTGTTATACGTGGAGATCATATCCCCCCTTATGTGTTATACGTGGAGATCATATCCCCCCTTATGTGTTATACATGGAGATCATATCCCCCCTTATGTGTTATACGTGGAGATCATATCCCCCCTTATGTGTTATACGTGGAGATCATATCCCCCCTTATGTGTTATACGTGGAGATCATATCCCCCCCTATATGGAGATCATATCCCCCCTTATGTATTATACATGGAGATCATATCCCCCCCCTTATGTATGTTATACATGGAGATCATATCCCCCCTTATGTATTATACATGGAGATCATATCCCCCCGTTATGTATTATACATGGAGATCATATCCCCCCCTTATGTATTATACATGGTGATCATATCCCCCCCTTATGTATTATACATGGAGATCATATCCCCCCCTATTATGTATTATACATGGAGATCATATCCCCCCTTATGTATTATACATGGAGATCATATCCCCCCTTATGTATTATACATGGAGATCATATCCCCCTTATGTATTATACATGGAGATCATATCCCCCTTATGTATTATACATGGAGATCATATCCCCCCCTTATGTATTATACATGGAGATCATATCCCCCCCTTATGTATTATACATGGAGATCATATCCCCCTTTATGTATTATACACGGAGATCATATCCCCCCTTATGTATTATACACGGAGATCATATCCCCCTTATGTATTATACACGGAGATCATATCCCCCTTATGTATTATACTATACATGGAGATCATATCCCCCCTTATGTATTATACATGGTGATCATATCCCCCCTTATGTATTATACATGGAGATCATATCCCCCCTTATGTATTATACATGGAGATCATACCCCCCCCTTATGTATTATACATGGAGATCATATCCCCCCCCTTATGTATTATACATGGTGATCATATCCCCCCCTTATGTATTATACATGGTGATCATATCCCCCCCTTATGTATTTATACATGGTGATCATATCCCCCCCTTATGTATTATACATGGTGATCATATCCCCCCTTATGTATTATACGTGGAGATCATATCCCCCCTTATGTGTATTATACGTGGAGATCATATCCCCCCTTATGTGTTATACGTGGAGATCATATCCCCCCTTATGTATTATACAGTACGTGGAGATCATCATATCCCCCCTTATGTATTATACATGGAGATCATATCCCCCCTTATGTATTATACATGGAGATCATATTCCCCCTTATGTATTATACAGTACGTGGAGATCATATCCCCCCTTTATGTATTATACATGGAGATCATATCCCCCCTTATGTATTATACATGGAGATCATATCCCCCCTTATGTATTATACATGGAGATCATATTCCCCCTTATGTATTATACATGTTGATCATATCCCCCCTTAATCTCCTCTTCTCAAGAGAGAATAAATTCAGTTCCTCTAATCTTTCCTCATAGCTGTTCTCCTCCATGCCTCTTATCAGTATAGTTGCCCTTCGTCACTTTCTCCAGTTCCCCAGTGTTCTTTTTGTGAATTGGTGCCCAAAACTGAACTGCATATTCCAGATGAGGTATTAATAATGATTTGTACCGGGGGAAATTATCTCTCTGGAGTCTATACCTCTCCTAATACAAGAGAGGATTTTGCTTGCTTTAGAACCCGAAGTTTGGCATTGCTGCCATTATTGAGCTTGTGATCTACCAGAACCCCCAGATCCTTCTCCACCATTGACCCCCCAGTTGTACCCCTCTAGTATGTATGATGCATGCATATTCTTAGCCCCCAAGTGCAGAACCTTACATTTATCAACATAAAACCTCATTTACCACATAGTTGTCCAATTACACAGTGCATTGGGGTCGGCTTGTAAATTGGAGACATCCTTTAAGGACGTTATTCCACTGCACAGCTTGGTGTCATCTGCAAAGACTGAAATGGGATTTTTTGATATTTCCAAGCCTGTAGACTTTACCTTACACATGTGGGGAACTGTGTCAAACACTTTTGCAAAATCCAAGTATACCACGTCCACCGCCACCCCTCTGTCCAAGTATACCACGTCCACCGCCACCCCCTCTGTCCAAGTATACCACGTCCACCGCCACCCCTCTGTCCAAGTATACCACGTCCACCGCCACCCTCTGTCCAAGTATACCACGTCCACTGCCACCCCTCTGTCCAAGTATACCACGTCCACTGCCACCCCTCTGTCCAAGTATACCATGTTCACCGCCACCCCTCTGTTCAAGTATACCACGTCCACCGCCACCCCTCTGTCCAAGTATACCACGTCCACTGCCACCCCTCTGTGCAAGTATACCACGTCCACTGCCACCCCTCTGTGCAAGTATACCACGTCCACTGCCACCCCTCTGTGCAAGTATACCACGTCCATCCCTCTGTCCAAGTATACCACATCAACTGCCCCCCTCTGTCCAAGGTTTTGCTCACCTTCTCAGAAAAAGAAATCAGATTTCTTTGACAACTTCTGCCTTTCATGAATCCATGCTGTCTGTTGCTTAAAATATTTTTTTCCAGCAAGAACTCATCTATGTGGTCTTTTATTAAACTCTCCAGTAGCTTTCCAACTATAGAAGTTAAACTAACAGGTCTGTAATTACTTGGTAAAGATTTTGATCCCTTTTTTACTGTAAATATTGGCATCACATTGGATTTATGCCAATCCAGTGGTACTATGCCAATCATTAAAAGTCCATAAAAATTAGAAACAATGGCTTTGAAATGACAGAGCTCAATTCTTTAACCTCTTCATGCCGAAGAGTGAAAAACAAATCTTAATGCCTAAGCACAATTTTGCAACATTGACATGTGTTACCAAAACTGTACATATCCCAACTTGTTTGTGCATCCAGGTGGATTTTACCTTTTTTTTTTCAGGACAAATTGGGCTTTCATTTGGTGGTAAGTGGTAATGAATATATCTCCTGATATTTTTTATTTTTTTTTTATTACCAAAGGAAAATTGGCCCAAAATAGTAAAAAAAAATTAGCTGTATATTTCTTGCTACTACCATAACCTACCACCAAAAACAACCCAAAATAATTTCTCATGCTCCTGACGATTGCAAAAATATCACGTGTATGTTAGTTGTTGTATGGACCTGTAGAACAGCCCAGAAACCATAGAGCGCAATTTACTTTTTTTTTTTTATTATTCCGCCACTAGCTGACAATAATACTAGTTTAAAAAATTACTAAAAAAAAGAAACCTGACCCCCCGCCCCAAAAAAATAGTTTTTAATTATTATTTATTAATTAATTTATTTTATTTCTTTTTTACACACACTTGTTTTTTTTTTTCTCTTTGAAAGGACAGCGAGAGATACAATGTATCTCTCCTCCATTTACAAATAGAAAACAAGGGGGCGGGGGGGCTTCACAGTGACTGATCACTGTGACAGCCAATCAGAGGCTATCACAGCGATCAGGTGACCCAGAATTGGGAGTCCGTGGTCCTGATTGTTAAAACAAGACCCGGAGCTCTCAGTGACACCCTGGTCTTTGTGCTGGGAGCAAACTGTGTGGTGTGCTCCCATCAGAAAGTCAGGTACGCAAATTAGCGGCCCTATGCGTGTGGTTGGCATCAAGGACCCGTGGGTGTATGCCATCTGCTCCAGGTGCTTTATTCATCTTTATTCTGTCTAAATATTTCTGGATCATATCAATTTTGAGCGATTGTGGATCATCTGGAGCTGTGTCAATATCATCCATTATGGACAAGAGCTCCCCCATGCTCCTTTGTGTACACAGAGCTGAAAAAGTTATTCAATAAATTTGCCTTCTCTTCGTCCCCAGTCACCCACTCTGGATTATTTTGTAAAGAGTCTACATGCTCAGACTTGACCTTTTTACTATTAATATATTTGAATTTTTTCGGGGGGTTGTTCTACTTTATTTTGCAATCTGTCATTCATTTAGAATTTTTGTGTGTCCTTAATTTAATTGTTACATATTCTGTTATTTTCCTTGTAACAATTGAATGATGATGGTGTTCCTTCACTTTTATAAGCTCCTTTTTTATTATTTATAGCTTGTTTTTACATTTTGAATGTGAGCCACATAGGTTTTATTTTTAGCCTTTTATACGTATTGCCCATGGGAATATATTTTGCAGTGTGTTCACATACAGTATTTTTGAAGAATTCTCATTTCTGTTCTGTGTTCTTTGATGCCAATATTTCCTCCCAATCTAAGTCATGGAAAGCAGCTCTCAACTTTGGTAAATTTGCTCTCTTAATGTTGAGTGTTTTTATCTTTTCAGTATGTTCTTGTTGTTTACAGCTAACAATAAATGAAATCATGTTATGGTCACTGCTACCCAGATGTTCTTTTATATGGACATTCGTAATAAGCTCTGAATGGTTTGAAATTACCAGGTCCAGCAGAGCATTATTCCTAGTTGGGGCCTATATGAACTGTACTATAAAATTGTCTTAGGTTTATACATTTTTGCCCTTCAACTGTTCTAGCAGAGCCAATACTCCAATTAATATCAGGGTAGTTAATATCCCCCAATATTATCTCTGTCCCAGCCCTTGCAGTCCTTTACGTCTGTGCCTCCTCATTAACACAGGTGGCCTGTAACAAACTCCAATGATTACCTTTGAGCTACGCACATCCATATGCAGTTCCACCCATAATGCTTCAGCCTCATCACACTCTCCATCAACTAGGTTCTCTTCCATTTAGGTGCAAACCATCTCTAGCATATAGGTTGTACTCCAATGAATAGTCAGCCCAGTGCTCTAGAAACCCCAAATCTTTCCCTCTTACACCAAGATATTAGCCATGCATTGAGATATCTAATCACCACCCCCATAGCACAGGTAATATTTCAGAGAATATCACCTTGGAGCTCCTTCCCTTCAACTTGCAGCCTAGCTCTTTAAATTGATTTTTAAGGTACCTCCATATTCCATGTATTCTATCATTGGTTCCAACATGGACCAAGACAGCTGGATCATGCCCAGCTTTTTCCCCCAAACCCTGGCTCCCCCCCCCCCCCCCCAGTAATTTATCAGTCTGGTCCACCACAGCACATTCACAGAATCACAGGAGCAGGGGAGGTCTGACAACTCATGAGGCCCCTGGGCAATAGGAGATCCAGGAGCCTAAACTGACACCTGACCTTTGAGATAGAGAAAGGAATCAAGAAAACTGATTTCCTCAGTTCCTTTCTCTGCAGCCCCAGCTGTCCTGCAGATAAATGAAGTGGATACAGATGCCTCTGTTCATTCATAAACTGAAGCATAGTAAACAAAGTTTATTATACTTCATTTATGAATGGACAGAGGAGTGCTTGCTACCGATCACTTACTGGGGGTTCATTCAGAAAAGGCAGGGGCCAGTAAAGTACATATTTACAGGCCCCTTCTACTGTTCTTCATCCTGACACATTCCCCTGTGTACCCGCAGCAGCTAGCAGGACAGGGAAGCTGGAAGAGCTGAGGGAGGTGTACCCAGGCACACAGGGAGGAATCAGATGTGGAGAGGATGGGGAGATCGGTAGCATGGGAGGGCAATTATAGAACGATGCTCTGTTTCTGTGTCTCGGGCAGTGCCCAAGAGCCCAAATGGTCAGTACACCCCTACACAAGAATACAGGATGCAGGCTGGGGTGCAGGGGGTCACAGGAACACAGGATGCAGGCCGTGCTACAGGGGGCCACAAGAATACAGGATGCAGGCTGGGGTACAGCGGGTCACAGGAACACAGGATGCAGGCTGGGGTACAGGGGGTCACAGGAACACAGGATGCAGGCCGGGGTACAGGGGGTCACAGGAATACAGGATGCAGGCCGGGGTACAGGGGGCCACAAGAATACAGGATGCAGGCCGGAGTACAGGAGGTCACAGGAGCATAGGGGACAATGGTGAGGGGGACTGTGATGTGAGCTCGGTGCTGAGGACACTGATGTAAAGGGTGGGGGTCTCTGATGTAAGAAGGGGGGCTGTGATGTGAAGGGGGCACATGACATTTACGTAAAGGAGGTGCTGTGATGTAGACTGGGGGGACTTGGAAACAAAGGAGGGTTGTGATGTAAAGCAAGTACTGTATTGTAAAGTGGGGGTTCTGTGGTATAAAGGGGTGACTATGATATGAAGAGGATTGTGATGTAAAGGGGGGGGGCTGTGATATGAAGAAACCGAGTCATAGCCCAAACATGAGACTCGGACCTCTGCTGGATGAAGATCTTAATGGCCGGACCTCCATGGATTATAATTCAATATCCCTGCACTAAAGGATTCATTGTATGTGGAGCGATCCTTTATACTACAGAGAAATCATATTTAGAATTTACCCGTTGTATCTATCTGCAGAGAAGAAAAAATTGTGGGGGAAATCTCCCTATTGTCAGAGGGGCAGAGACACAAACTACTGCAGGGAAATCTCCCCATTGTGGGAGGGGCAGAGACACAAACTACTGCAGGAAATCTCCCCATTGTGGGAGGGGCAGAGACACAAACTACTGCAGGGAAATCTCCCCATTGTGGGAGGGGCAGAGACACAGACTACTGCAGGGAAATCTCACCATTGTGGGAGGGGCAGAGATACAAACTACTGCAGGAAATCTCTCCATTGTGGGAGGGGCAGAGACACAAACTACTGCAGGGAAATCTCCCCATTGTGGGAGGCGCAGAGACACAAACTACTGCAGGAAATCTCTCCATTGTGGGAGGGGCAGAGACACAAACTACTGCAGGGAAATCTCCCCATTGTGGGAGGGGCAGAGACACAAACTACTGCAGGAAATCTCCCCATTGTGGGAGGGGCAGAGACAGACTACTGCAGGAAATCTCCCCATTGTGGGAGGGGCAGAGACAGACTACTGCAGGAAATCTCCCCATTGTGGGAGGCGCAGAGACACAAAACTACTGCAGGGAAATCTCCCCATTGTGGGAGGGGCAGAGACAAACTAATGGAGATAATCTTACCATTGTGGGAGGGGCAGAGACACAAACTACTGCAGGGAAATCTCACCATTGTGGGAGGGGCAGAGACACAAACTACTGCAGGAAATCTCCCCATTGTGGGAGGGGCAGAGACACAAACTACTGCAGGGAAATCTCCCCATTGTGGGAGGGGCAGAGACACAAACTACTGCAGGAAATCTCTCCATTGTGGGAGGGGCAGAGACACAAACTACTGCAGGGAAATCTCCCCATTGTGGGAGGGGCAGAGACAGACTACTGCAGGAAATCTCACCATTGTGGGAGGGGCAGAGACAAACTAATGGAGATAATCCTACCATTGTGGGAGGGGCAGAGACACAAACTACTGCAGGGAAATCTCCCCATTGTGGGAGGGGCAGAGACACAAACTACTGCAGGGAAATCTCCCCATTGTGGGAGGGGCAGAGACACAAACTACTGCAGGAAATCTCCCCATTGTGGGAGGCGCAGAGACAGGGGTAAAACTACTAGGGAAATCTCCCCTGCAGGGAAATCTCCCCATTGTGGGAGGGGCAGACACAAACTAATGGAGATAAGCTTACCATTGTGGGAGGGGCAGAGGCACCAATTACTGTGGGGAAACGTTACCGCTGTGGGCGGGGCAGGGACACGAACTACTCTTCCACGGTTCTGAGTGGACTTGGCCTACAATGTGAAGTGTTCTCTTGTTCTCCTCATTACACTGACCAGACTTGGAGAGAGAGGTTTATCTGTGATCATATATTGCAGTCTTTGTGTCAGGTCTGGACAGATCAGCGGTATTTCGATGAAACCTGGATGGTCGTCCTGTCGGCGCGGCACAACCAGCGGTACATTGTGTCAGCGGATTAATGACATTTGAGTTATTCTCACATTTACAGGAAGGCTGAGATCTGGCGTAGCTATGAAAATAAATATTTCTCTCTCCCCAAGGAGAGTCTTGTCACTTTCAGTAAAACCTCAGCCTGGCTACTCAGCGGCCCAAAATTATGAGCACCCAGCGCTCATAGAAGGCATATTTCCTGAATGATGATCTTCAAGGTCGGCGACAGTGGAGGCAGAGCTGTCCGGCCTAATTCTTCTCCGTACGGCGTGACATGATGCAATCCCATTATACAGGATGGGCCGCTCGTTCCACGGTGCGATGGGCCTGCCCCTCCCCCCCAATACAGCCAATTAGAAACAAAACAGAGTGACAGGCAATTTGTTACCTCTAAATATTATGTCAGAAGGATCGACTCAACTACAAGTGCAATGAGAAGCGGGGGTTAAGTGGCGGCACCGGCAACTAAATAGGTTTGCTTTTCCCACAAACGCTTGGCGGTTTCCTGACAGCGCTGATGGATGAGATGTGAAGCTGAAGTGACACTATTTATGTCACCGGAGTGTTTTATTTACACAGAGACGGATATATGCGTCTGATAGGAGAGGTCTGCATGAGCAAATTAAAGGAGACAATCATAATGAAATAAACAGCGGACGTACATAGTACAGCATGGTGATGGAATACTAAGTTCTCCGACTTTGCAGCACTGATGTTCTGGACTGAACCCCAGCCATGACTACCTGTGTTGGTGTGCGCTCCTTCTGCTGCTCCAGATTACATTTGACAATCAAAAAAATAGAATAGGTTATCTGACTTCTCAGTAATCTGCCTTTAACCTCCCTGGCGGTATGATTCTTTCCGATTTTTTTGTGCTGAAAGCGATACCATTTTTTTGCATGGAAATATGTAGTTTTTTTATTGTAGGCTGTAATTTTTAGGAATAACTCACTGAAATCTGTCCGAACAAGAGTCTAGTAAACATCCCGGTATGATAAAACTTGAAACACGAAATCATAAATTATAATTTAATAAATAATCATAAAAAATAATATAATAATACATTTAATTCAATAATATAATCAAACCAAAAACACTGAAATTTGAAATACAGAGGCAAATTCACACATCGCTGAGCAAAGTCGTCGTTTTCAGTGTCTGATGACGAATTTCCCCGCGAATCATTATCACTCAATTCTGCAAGTGGTTCTGATTTACTATCGCTGTTCTAAAACCGCTTTTGACGTAAAGGGACGCTTTTTGGACGCCATGGACTTTTCTCAGTTTCCAGGCAGAAAGAACATTCAAAATGCAGGCAGGCAGGGCGTAGGAAAAAGCAGTAGGGACAAAATATATGTGAAATGCATTGAAACGTCGTCCCGACGTCACAGGGACCGAAACACGGAAGCCGGATGCTGGCATCGGCCGAAGGAGATGGCCGGGGACACTGCAGGGGACATATCGTGGGAGCGAAGGACAAGGTAAGTGCTGCAGGGACCTCCTGCGCAACGCCGCATGGTAAGCCCGAGTGTAGCTCAGGGTCACCGCTCTTGGTATTGAAATTTTACCCCGAGCTACACTCGGGATAACCGCTAAGAAGGTTAAGGGACAATGGGGGGCATTAGAGTGTAAGCTCCTCTGGTGCAGAGACTGATGTGACTGGCTCAGTGTTCTCTGTATAACACTGTAGTATAGGTCAGAGCCAATTTTTTTTTTTTTTTTTCTCCAGAAAATAGGTGCAGGTACTCTCCTCTTTCAAGTCACTCCTTGTCTCTGCACCCTACTCACCCTTGGTTCTATTACCTTGCCACCTGCCAGTATTGTCCCATTTGAAGAAAACCGAGCCAAGTATTTGTGATGATTATAATTTCCATGAAAAGCAGTAGATCCCCTGTAGCCAGCAAAAATAGCCCCCCAGCAACAATAATCCCTCCACTGACAGTTGAGTGCCCCAGCAGCAATATACCCCCTGCAACAAAATATTCCCTCCCATGGCAAAAATCAAAAATAGACCCACCCAAGGAACAAATAGACCACACCAGCAAAATTAGAGCTGCCAGCAACAATAGATCCACATAGTTCATAGTTACATAGTTAGTCTGGCCGAAAAAAGACAAAAGTCCATTCAGTTCAACCATTAAAAAAAAAGTTATAATCCTACACCCACAGTTGATCCAGAGGAAGGCAAAAAAAACCCAGCAAAGCATGATCCAATTTGCTCCTGCAGGGAAAAAATTCCTCCCTGATCCCCCGAGAGGCAATCAGATATTCCCTGGATCAACTTTACCAAACATAGGTTCACATCTCCACTCCAAGTCATCTGAAGCCAAACACCTGAAGCTCAAACAAGTTCTGGAGCTTTTTTTTTGTTGCTCAAATCAGGCAGATTGCATGTTTGTGAGGGGTTTTTTTTTTTTAATTAAAAAAAAAAATATATATATATATATAATGGTAACGCACAATTCTGCTCAAATGAAAAAAAGGAAAAAAAAATTGTAATAATATATGAATAAGTAAATACACAAATAAAACCATAAATAAATAATAAAATAAATTAATAATATGCAATAGTCAATATTAAAGTGGTCATTCTATGCATGAAGGTAAAAACCTTCTCTGTGCAGCATCTCCCCCCCCCCCCCCCCCCCCCCCCCAAATCTCCCTCTGGATCCAGCGATGTGCACTGGAGTATCGGCTGCCCCAGGACTCCCTTTCCTCATTGACTGAGACAGCAGCTATTGGCTTCCACTGCTGTCAATGACAGCCAGGGAGCCAATGAAAAGGGAGAGGGGGCGGGTCTGAGGCGCAGATTTTGTGTGTGGACACATGAAGCAGCGATTGGAGAGTGTGCATGCTCGGGTGCCCCCATAGCAAGCTGCTTGCTGTGGGAGCACCCGACAGGAGGGAGTGGCTTGGAGCGCCGGCGGGGGACCAGTTAAGAAGATAATCCGGGTTGCTCTGTGCAAAACCACTGCACACAGCAGGTAAGTATGACATGTTTGTTATTTTAAAAACAATTTAAGCCTTTAGAATCACTTTAACTCCTAACTTTAACCCCCTAACCCTGCAGCCCCCCCCCCAAAAAAAAAACAAAAAAACATTATGAATAATAGTGATAGTGATAGTACATAAACACCAAAACATGAACAAAAAATAAATAATAATTATTATTCATTTTGTGTTGGGTGTTATTATTATTATTATTTTTATTAATGTATTTACTTTTTTTTAAGGGTTAGGGGGTTAAGGCTTAGGGGTTAATTGTTTATTATTATATATTCATTTATTTTATTTCTTTATGATTAGTTTTATTTGTATATTTATTTTACATTTATGCACTCATTTTTTATCATCATTGTTATAATTATTATTAACATCTTAACCCTAACAAAAAAAAAAAAGAAATAATAAGACAATAGATAAAATATTAACCCCTAACCCTAATCCTAACCTAACCTTAACTCTAACCCCTTACCCTAACAAAAAAAGATAATATATGAATAATAATAAAAAAGAAAAACTGATGGAAAAGTAAAAAACCTAGCAACAAATGATGCAACAGATGATATTTTTCTCTATCGGCACATAAATGCAAAAAACATTGCGTGACAAAAATGTGCAAAAAATTCTTAAAGACGCTATACTCAAGTGTGAATCCAGCCTTTGTGCAGAGACTGTGACTGGCTCAGTGTTCTTTGTACAATACTGCAGAATATATCAGTGCCATACAATTGTATAATAATAATAGTGTGTGACTGTGGTGGGACATTAGACTGTAAGCTCCTCTGGTGCAGAGACTGATATGAATGGCTCAGTGTTCTCTGTACAGCACTATGGAATATGTCAGAGCTATATACAGTATCTCCCAGAAGTGAGTCCACCCCCTCACATTTTTGTAAATATTTGATTCTGTCTTTTCATGTGACAACACTGAAGAAATGACACTTTGCTACAATGTGACGTAGTCAGTGTACAGCTTGTATAACATGTAAATTTGCTATCCCCTCAAAATAACTCAACACACAGCCATTAACGTCTAAACCGCTGGCAACAAAAGTGAGTCCACCCCTAAGTGACAATGTCCAAATTGGGCCCAAAGTGTCAATATTTTGTGTGGCCACCATTATTTTCCAGCACTGCCTTAACCCTCTTGGGCATGGAGATTACCAGAGCATCACAGGTTGCCACTGGAGTCCTCTTCCACTCCTCCATGATGACATCACAGAGCTGGTGGATGTTAGAGACCTTGCTCTCTTCCACCTTCCATTTGAGGATGCCCCACAGATGCTCAATAGGGTTTAGGTCTGGAGACATGCTTGGCCAGTCCATCACCTTTACCCTCAGCTTCTTTAGCAAGGCAGTGGTTGTCTTGGAGGTGTGTTTGGGGTCGTTATCATGTTGGAATACTGCCCTGCGGCCCAGTCTCTGAAGGGAGGGGATCATGCTCTGATTCAGTATGTCACAGTACATGTTGGCATTCATGGTTTCCCTCAATGAACTGTAGCTCCCCAGTGCCGGCAGCACTCATGCAGCCCCAGACCATGACACTCCCACCACCATGCTTGACTGTAGGCAAGACACACTTGTCTTTGTACTCCTCACCTGGTTGCCGCCACACACGCTTGTCACCATCTGAACCAAATCAGTTGATCTTGGTGTCATCAGACCACAGAACATGGTTCCAGTAATCCATGTCCTCAGTCTGCTTGTCTTCAAAAAACTGTTTGCGGGCTTTCTTGTGCATCATCTTTAGAAGAGTCTTC